AAATGCATTCTTTTGTTGTTCAGAGAAATGAAACAGTTTGCCCGGATCCCTCAGGAGCTCTTTGGCAAACGTGGGAAAGGGAACCGAATCAGCCCGCGGGGGCCGGCTCCAGGCTCTGCGCGCCGGGGAGACTGACCCTCGCGCCCCGCCCCGGCTCCCCGGGGAGCCCGGCGGCCGCGGCCGGGGAGGTGGGGACTGCGCGGGGCCGCGCTCCCGCGCTCCTCTTCGCCGACCCACCGGCAGGCGGCGGCGGCCCGCAAGGGGGCGGCGGCTCGGGGCTTTGTGGCCGCGGCGCGCGCGGCGGGGCCTGGCCGGCCGGGGGCGCGCCGCTACCGCCCGGCGCTCCGGAGCCCGCGGCCCCGCCGGCCGCTCAGCTTGCGCGAGCAGCCAAGGCCGCCGCGCTCGCGCCTCGCCGGCCCCTCCCGCTCTCCGCGGCCGCCGCTGCAGGTAGGAGGCTGGGCCGGGAGGGCCGCGGCGGGCGGACGGCGCGGGCGGGGGCGCGGGCTTCCGGGCCCGGGCGTCGCGACCCCCGCGCTGCAGGCCGGGCGCCAGGCGGCCGCCTCCGCGCGCCGCGCCGCGCCGGGACTCGGTGAGTGGGGCCGGCCTGCTGCGTACAAAGCCCCTGGGCGCGGGCCTCGGGAGACTCCGAGCGGCCCCCGGGGTGGGGGCTGTGCACCCCCGGGCCGGGGCAGTCGCTTGGGAAGAATCCAGGTGACCTGCAGTGGAGCAAGCTTCCGATCCCGGGTTCCCTACTGTGTGCTGGGTACAGCGCCGGCCGCTTTTCAGGACTTGTCTCCATTAAGACCTGGTGCTTCAGGGGAGGGGTCCCGATTCCGAGGCTGAAGCAGAGCATCACATGCCTTCCCGCCTGACCTTGGGAAAGCTCCTTTACTGCGAGCCTGGCTGCTGTTTCTGTAATGGGGGTGAGGGGCGGCGAGGGGGCTGGGTGTGAATACCTACCCCGGGTACTACTGTGATAGATAATGTGTGCGTATGATCACAGCTAAAGTGTGAGCACTTTCTATACAGCAGGCCCTGGGTCTTAAACCCTTGGCATGAATTATCATTAAATTATCACTCTGGTGCTATGAGGTAGCTACTGTAAATTGCATGAAAGAAATCTGCAGGAGTAGGAAACTGAAGAATGTAGTCTTACTCGGATTCTAAAGAATGGATGTTTCTTAGGTATGGTCACATTAAAGAGTAAAATGTTCTTGCAGTACTTAGGAAAGTAACAGACAGATGCATTTGTCACATATTTAAAACAGTAGGCAGGATAATAGGGGCCACGCGGTGTGAATTTCAGTATGCCAGAAAAGCCTGTGTTCCCTGGGAAAACGGTAATTCAGCCTAATTCAAAAACCGTTTCTGAGTTAGACTTGAGTTAGACTGAGGACTGCTAAGGGAGCTGGGGCCCTGAAAGAGACAAAGAGTTGAGAGGAAGGACTCTGAATGCCCCGAGGAAGATGAAGAGGGGAGGAGAAGCATCCACCCTCCCTCTCATCAACATTGTAGATCAGCATTCTGTCCTTCCCTGAGAGCCCAGGGTGGGGTGGAAACGGTGCCTAAGAGTGATTGCAGCGTGTCCGTTTCTCTTTGCAAGCCCAGACAAAGGTGTTCACATGTAATGCCACTAGTCCCATAACTGTACCTCCTAAAGTGGCAGTATCCCCTGCCATTCTTAGGTTTCCTGGAGATAGGAATAGTTAACAGCCAACCCTGAAGGTTGGCACGACACTTAAAATATTAAGGTCTAGCTGATGTAATGAGGAAGTAGAGCTTTCGGAATCACATTCACTTGTTAGAGAAGCAGTGGAGTGGTGGAGGGGGTTTGGGGTTTGTTTGGAATGAGTACTGGAAGGTTCTGGTCCCTGACAAAGGGAGAGGGAAGCAGACCAGGCCTAGAAGTAGTGGTGAACCTATGGCACATGTGTTACTGTGTTTTTAAGACAAAAGATGCTAATGTGTGAATTCCTTTTTATGAACTGAAACTTCAGTGTTCAGGTTTAATTACAGTGTTGACACTTTGTGATAAATAAATGGGTTTAGGCTATCATTTGGTACTTGTTCTCTGAAAGGTTCACCATCACTGGCCGAGCGATTGCACTAGGGGAACATCAGTGAAAAGGGAACTGGTCACTTCAGCACACCTGCGGAATGCCTGGCTGCCTTCAGTTCTCAGCCCCAAGAAGACACCTGTCCTCTCCCAGTTTCTTTCCTAAGTGTTGGGGAAGGTCAGGGGCAAGACTCAAATACACCTTTATTATGAGTGAGCTCCTTAGGGAAGAGTGGTTTTGTTTTGATCCAGACCTTGAAGAAAAAGGTATTTAGATACACAGTGGTGGTGAAGGTATCAAATACGATGCTTAGTGGAAAGAACAATTGTTCTGGAGAGATAGTTTGGGGTTTGACTCTATTTCTGTGCCATTATTAGCTTTGTATTTTTCTTTTCTTTTTTAGCTGTGTGTGTATATATAAAATAATAGCTTTTTTGCCAAATACCTGGCAGGAGTTTCACAAGTACTCTGTTTTCCCAGTCCATGAGGACATTCATTCAACAAATGTCTACTTGAGCTCCAGCCCTGTGCTGAGTCATATGCTACATGCTGAGGATACAAAGATGAGTCAGAAATTATGTATTCCCTTAGGAATTTCCTCCAGTGGGGGAGACAGAGGCAAAGCACAAATTAACGTATGTGGGGTGCAACTATGCAGGCATATATGATTGTCAGTGGGCTCACAGAAAAGTGGTCAACTCGTTCATTAGAGACCTGGGGCCAGTATTCTTGACAGCTCTGAGACCTACCTTACAGGTTATGAATGCTGTGTTATATTTTAGCTTGCATTTATTTATTTATTTATTTATTTTTGAGATGAGGTCTGTCTATGTAGTATAGGCTGGCCTCAAACTGGACCCCCCTGATTAAGTCTTGAGAGTGCTGGAATTACATGCCAAGCTCTAGCTTTTCTTTTAGCTCTGGCATATCTTGTTTTTGCTCTGATATTCTTTCTCTTTTTAAGAAAATCTGTTTACAGTGTGTGCATAATTTGTAACTTGCTTCGCACTTATTTTAGAAAGAAGCTATTATAAATAAAATTAAAAGATAGCATGGAAGTCAGTTAAGGAAGCCTTCAGAAAAATTACACGGAAGGCCAGGCATGGTGGTACATGCCTGTAATCCCAGCTCTTGGGAGGCCAAGGCTGTGGCAGGATCATTGCAACGTTGAGGCCAGCCTGGGCTACAAAGTGAGTTCAAGGCCAGCCTGAACTGCAAAGCAAAACCCTGTTTCAAAAAGAAAAAAAAAGAAAGAAAGAAAAAGTGCATGGAAACTGGTAGACCTTTCAGTAAAGATTCCAGCCAGAGGCATGAGAATGCAGCAGATTCAAGGGTGAGAAGGTGAGTTTGGTCTGGTTAGGTTGCAAGTTACATGAGAGGGTAGCGGGTTGGGTGGATAGGTGCTGTAATCAGGCCAGATCCACAAAGGCCTTGAAAAACATTAAGAGGAGTTTGGACTTGTTTTATCACTGAGGCAGTGAGGCAGATGTCAGAGGGACACAAGCCACACTGTGGCATGATAACTGTGAGTAGGAGGTTCCCTCCCCTGGTGGTGTGGAAGATGGGCTGGACGGTTGGGAGACTGTGTTAGAGGTTAGGTTTGGGCCTCAGAAGTGAGCAGTGAGAACAGAAAGGGAGGGAACAGATACTGAGATAAAACATGTAACAGGTCTTGTTAACTAGTTGCACTTGTTGAATGTGCTGAGAATTCTGCTTTGAGGAATCAAGTTGATTGTCTTAACTCAGTAGTCATCAGGAGACTTGGAAGTGAGGGAATAGTTTTGGGAAAAGCTTGTGAGGTGCTGATTTTGGGCAACTAGATAGAGGTGGGTAGTAGGTAACTGGTAATGTGTTTAATGTTAAGGAGAGGGGTTGGGCCAGGGTCAGAGTTTCTTTCTGACACCCCTTACTGAGCATCTGTTATATGCACAGGATACACAACGTGAACGGTAGTTCCACGCCTCCAGTAGGGGAGTCCTTGAGGATGTGGATGCACTGCAGTGCAGCTACAGGGGGACACCTACGGAAGGTCACTGCGTTCATTTCAGGAGCTGGGGGAAGGGAGAGGCAGTAAGGAGCCAGGACTCTCTGGCTTGTGGAGGGCAGAGGGAGCGTGGGAGGACACCGGCATGGAAGACGGGCCCTCGCCTTAAAGGCAAGGCTGATTCTGCTCACACTCAGACACAGATGGTAGAAATAAACACTGACGTTACATGGCCTGTGGAATGGGTGGGGACGTGGAAGGGGAGGGAATGCATTAGAAGAAGCAAGTTCAGGTTTAGGTTGCAGACCAGAAAGCTTTCTAGAAGAAGGAAGGTGGAGGGGCAGAGAGAACACCAGGGAGTGGCCATGGAGGCAGACAGGTCTGAGCATGCGAGGACAAAGTGAGAGCCTCAAGTCATCACAGTTATGAGGCTCTTGAAAAATTGGCATTTTGTTTCCTTTTTGGATCTTGATGGTATTTATAAGAACGAGAAAATATCTTTGATCACAAATCTCATAAAAAGAGAAATTATAGATTGTAAACCACCTGGCTGGCTATAATTAGTTAAAAACAAAACCAAATGTCAAGCAAGTGTGTTCCAACGTATTCCACAAATATATATATATATATATATATATATATATATATATATATTTTTTTTTTTTTATTGGTACCAGAGATTGAATTCACGACTGCATGCTTACAAGACAGGCACTTATGCCGCTGAGCTAAATCCCCAGCCCCTATTCCACAAGTATTTATCAAGTGCTTACTACTAGGTAGCAGGTACTCTTCAAGGCACTGTGGAGAACAGTTCAGCCCACCTGCTTCAGCCGTTTCATCTGGAATTGCTTAACTGACAGAGCTAAACCCATGTATGGGCTTTAAAGCAAAAAGGATTGTATGAAGTGCTGAAATAATTTCATTCTATTACAGTGTTCTCTTCATTGGCCAGTGGCTCCTATAGCCTAATAAATAATCAGAAAATATCATTCATGTATCTTTGGCAATGAACTGTGAAAACACTAGGCTGCAGAAACACGGTAGTGTTAATATGGATTGCCACCGACCACTTTAGCTGTAATTTAGAAATGAAGAAAGATGTGCCTAGTGTCACAAAATGAGTGACAGAGTGGAGAGCAGTTCCCTGCAAGCTTTCACATGGAGTCAGATTCCTCTTACTATAACACAACAGCCAGGTAAGTCAACTTCTAAAGGGAAATGGTTTTTTTTTTTTTTTTTTTTTTTTTTTTGGCATTTTCGGGCCAGGACCACTGATTATTGCTTTGGGGCCGTGGCAAGGGAGCCCATCATGAAAGGATGATGTGGCAGAGCAAAACTTCACCTCATGGTCAGGAAGAGAGGAAAAGTAAGGGGCTAGGTCCCTGTGTACCCTTTCAAGGACATGCCCTCAAAGACCTAAAGACTTTCCACTTGGCCCCACCTCTTTAAAGGTGGCCTCACTTCCAAATAGTGTCACGCTGGGGACCAAGTCTCTAACAAAGAGGTCTTTGGGAAGTAAATATCAAAGCAGATGGGATCGTGGGGAAGGCTGTGGGGTACCTAGCAAAAGGGCATCTTGATGGTGAAGGATTCCAAAAGAGGAGATGTTGAGAAAGGGCTTAAGAGCAAACCACCAAGCTTTGTCTTTTGTGATGAGGGCCCTCAGAAATCCGTTCTGCTCTGAGCCCCAGTTTCCTCATCTGTAAAGTGAGAGGGTTAGACTGAAGTCCGTTTTATGGGTTTAAAAGATAAGGCTCTAGACTGCTTCAAAAAAGGTTACTTATGACACAAGTTGAGTCAGGTGACAGCACAGGCAAAAAACAGGAAACATCTATTACCTTTTTAGAACAAACTGATCGCCTGTAACTCGTGGCAGTCTTTGTGATCTCCTTGAGCAATGCCGTTCTGATTCCTGCGCAGAGGGTGTACCATTAATCCTTCTGTGTCTCACTGCCTCATCCTAGTGTGGACACACGTGAACTGGTCATTTCTTCCTACTAAATAGCCCTTGGTATGTGCTTCCTTTTCTCTGTTCATGTTCCTTGCAGATTCCAGGACCTTTTCAGTTTTTGTGTCTTCCACAGAGTTTACAGCAGTGCTCAGCCTTTGACAAGAGTTCATTCCACATTAAACAGTTGTATGTAGATGCGTTAAAAAGCCAGTCAGTGTATAGATGAGCATGCATTGGATACAAACCACTACTTATTCTGGGAAGCAGTTTGATCTGAGTAGAAGGTGGGAAAAGAACTACAATTCACTGAAACTACCCTTGTTTTTCACTCCCATTGCAAGACTGTAGCGCTGGGTTGATAAGGTAGTTTGGGGAGTATTAACTGTTTTATAGATACAGCATGAGGTTAACTGACTCATGCAAAATTATATACTCACGTGAGCGCTGAACTCAGGATTTGAGCCTAGGTTTTCTATATCCAGTGTCTGAGTTCATTTGGCTTCACTTTAAGAGCCCCAGTTCATTAGGGTCCTGACGTCCTGCCTAGGGTCTCAGTGCCACAGTCTCTTCAGTTATGATGGCCATTCTGAGTATTGACTTCAAAGCACTTCTTATTCCACAAAAGGCAGTAAAAGCAAAATCTTTGCCAAGATTTTCTATGCTACTGAAACTTTTTAAGACTTAGTTTCACCCTTGGTGGACTTTAAAATCAGTAGATAGTATATTAGTCTTCTCAGGCTGCCATAATAAAATGCCACAGATTGGGGTATTTTATTTCCTGCAGTTTCAGAGACTGAGAAGTCTAAGATCAAGATGCTGCCAAGGTAGGTTTTATTCTGAGTCTTCATCCTTTGGCCTTAGGGTGATTGCCATCTCACTGTATATTTACAGGGCATGTTTTGTTGGGGAGAGAGGAAAACACATGCTCTCTGCTGTGTTTTTGTATAAAGGTACAAATCCCATTGGACAAAGATCTCATACTTGTGATCTCATTTAGCCTTAATTATTGCCTTAAATGCCCATCTCCAGATATAGCCACACTGAGGATTAGGGCTTCAGTATTAGAATTTTGAGATCACATAAAATTCATAAACTTTTAAGGTAGATATTAAATATACCTACTGTAACCTCCTGGTAGTTCAATGACTGTTAGTGTTTTGGGAATTGCCCTAGTTATTCCCTCTCTGTTCTTTTTTTGGGGGGAGTACCAAGGCTTGAACTCACAGCTGCACGCTTGCAAGGCAGGCACTTATGCCGCTGAGTTAAATCCCTGGCTCCTCTCTATTCTTGATACTAGAATTAGGCTCTTTTACTTAGACCGTCCTGTGGGTCTTTGTCAAACTTAAAGGAGAACTTTTACTGCATTTGGATCTTGCTATTATATTGACCATTTTTGCTTTTGGTGTATTGTTTTGTCATGTATGATCTTCGGCACATGATAGGCAATTTTATTCCTATGTAAACATGTTTGGGTTCAATAAATATTTACCAAGAGCCCACTGTACTACTGTACGAGGGTCACTGGGCTGCTTGTTGGACCACAGCCATGCATAAGGACAGGTAGCAGCACTGTGTCTAGCAGAACAGCAGATACAAAAGGTGCTCATTGCTGAGCGTGTTTGGGAGCAAGGAAGGCCAGTCCATTTGTGGTAAGAGGTGATGCAGCAAGGAAGACGGTTATATTGAGATTTGAAAACAATTACAGACGTTAATAGTGTTAAAGTGGAGTATGCTTTCTGGGTTCAAAGTTTCCATTAATAAGCCTTGCTGTGAGAGAGCTCTTACTTGGGAGCGTTCGTGTATCAAGGACTGTCAGGTGCTCAGGCAGATGCCATCTTTCCCTCAGGAGTATGGAGCCTTTTAAGCTTTATGTGGTCTCTAGAGTTACTTGTCAGACAGACATTTCTGTCAGATCAACAGCAGAAATCATCTCAGTACTGTGATCAAGGTAAATGGAGTACACCTTATAAGTGGCTGTGTGTCCTAGATGTAAAAGAGGCAGGAGGTGACAGGCCAGGATAGAGCCATTAGGAGGGGAAGACAGGGAAGAGCAGGTACAGCTCCCCTAAGTTGCCTTACCCTTGGACCTCTGCCAGATGGCAGCCAGACTGCTAATTAATTGACATAATTTGATCAGGGGAGTAGAAGCTGTCACTAGACCTGAAATAAGAGAACTAAGCAGAACTGAGGAGTATGGATCTTGTCAGTACTGAGTTTGAATCCTGTTCCTGCCACTTAATATTCATTCGACAATAGCAAGTCACTGAGCCTGTTTTCTTTTTTCTGTTTATTGTTTATTTGCAGCTCTGGGGGTTGAATCCTTGCCCTCACACATGCTAGGCAAATGCTTTATCATCAGGGTCTCCCTAATCCCTGAGCCTCAGTTTTCTCATCTAAGAAATGGGGATGGTAATTGGTGGGTACAGATAAACAGCCTACTTCATAAGGCTGTTGGGAATCCACAGGGAACCTTTGGTTTATACTGGAATCCCTTTATAGCATCGTAGATGGTCCAGGGAGGACTGCTGTTTTACGAAATTAAGCAAAGTAAATTGGTAACTTAGGATTTACTTAGCTAGTGATTAAGCAACAGTTTAGTTAATAGGCTATTAATGGTCCCTAGGTGTTGGTAATTCTGAGTATTTGCTTTTGAGAGCCGTTGTGTAATTTCTTCTGGGTACTTGATCTTTTTTTTAACAGAAAATACTGAAGTGTAGCAAATGATGTTATCACGGACGATTTTTGAGAAGATTAAATGATATTGTGCATATAAGGCATCTGATGTAATGTCTAACCCCCAATAAGAGTTCAATAAAAGTTATCTGCTATTATCCTCTTACTAGACCTCCACTGGCCATAGTAGGGCAAAAACTTCTGTGAAATTTAGACTCCCCACAAGTCTGTCACCACCTCGTGGCAGCTAATGGAACCATATAAATTGCAAGGATGACTTATTAAATTACTTGGCATTGATTCCATATAATTACAGTTCCACCCAGTGTCACAGACATGGTTCAGAGTGTAGCTTATTTGCATGCGGGCTAGAATCTGTATTGTTAAACAATCAACTGACATGTTTTGCCTCCATCGTTGCCGCTGAACAAAAAGGTAACAGCACAAGTAAGTGAAGCTGAGAAACAGAGGTGCTTTATGTGCTGTTAGTAGAATCATATGTCAACACGTTTGTACAAGGACAAATTCGTACCACAAAAGTCTTCGATGTTTCCATCTTTTGTGGGAGCATCTGTTTTTAGGGATTTCTCTTGAAATAATCAAGATAGGAAAAAGATTTATTTATTTATTTACTTGCGTTAAGGTCTCAATGTGTAGCATAACCTGGCCCTGAGTTTACTATGTAGCTCAGGCTGGCCTTGAATGTGCGGTGATTCTCCAGCCTCGGCCTCCCAGATGCTGGGATTACAGATGTGCACCAACACACCTGGTGGAAAAAGATTTGTTTAGACTGTATATATACACAAACACATCTGCAAAGCATATATACAAAGCATTACATACAACGGAACAAAATAGAGTATAATAGTGACTTTTAAAAGAATAGGGGAGGAGGAAGGTAGGCATATTGGCATCTCCTGGGCAAGAGGAGTTGAGGTGGGGAATCTGTTCAGAATCTGCCCTGGAAGCTGTGTGTTTTCAGACCATTTGGTGTACCCACTCATTTAATAATAAAACTTACAGAAAGTAAGTTGCATGTGGACATATTGGCCAATAGAGATTTACAGGAGAGCAGAGTGCACAGAGCATGTGTTAATAAATGTCAGCTTGGGAATCATGGGTGTATAGGAAATAGACATATTGATAAAGGTAAAAATTAATTTTGGACCTTGGAGGAGAAGAGGCTCAGACTGGGTCCAAGCAATATGATCAGAGCAAGGCCTGGAAATATATCTCTAGGGCATATTCCCAGAGATAAATGTCCCTTCATTTACCTTGACTTAGAAGTCAAGGCCAGACTGCTTCTGATGTGTCTTTAAATCGCTTGATCTTTGATTCCTTATTTTACTAGTGTGAGTGTGGAGAGGAAACGTGGTGGGTGGAAGTCTGATCACAATAGCACATCTACTCCTAACCTTAACTTTTAGGAGGAGGTGGTCTATCATGGGAGGCCCTGATCAGATTCTGTCACTATTATATAGAACCTGCAGCCCTTTTTTCCCCTCTCCTCCCTTCTCTTCTCTTCCTTCTTCTCCTTTTTGTACAGGAGACTGAACCCAGGGCCTTCACAGTAAGCTACATCCTCAGCTCTTTTTATTTTGAAAAAGTTTCTCACAGACTTGCCCAGGCTGAGTTCAACTTGTGGTCCTTCTGCCTCAGCCTCCCCATGTGAAGGTTCTCTGCTCTGGTCTCATCCTCTCTAGTTCCAATACAGTGATAGTAACCTCTATCCTTGTACTTGTGAGGCTAGTTGCCGGGTAACTGTGATTTTAAATTAGTGTGTCAATACACTTAAAAATCCACAGGCTTTTTTCCCTCTAATTTTTTATTATGGAAAATTTTAAACAAAGATTCAGAAACTAACTGAAGGGAACTTAAGGTACCAATCACCCTTGACTTTCAGAGTCATACTTTTGACTATTTGGACTTGTTCGAGTTGGTTCCTTTTTCTTTTGATATAGATTGACGATTTTAAGTGGACTACATCTCATCTTGATGTTTGCCTGCTACTCTGAAAAATCAGGGTTGGAGACGCAAAGGTCTGGCATATACTGGCCCTTTCCAGAAAGTGGAACATACAGTGGCTAACTGTATTGCTGTAAATATTGTTGCTTAGCTACGTGTTTGCCATCATTTGTTTGAGAGATTAATCTTATAGGAAGCATCCTGCAATTAGAAAATGAGGGAAACACACACAGCTTTCCTATACTTTAGCAGAATCACAATGAAGTCTTACTATGCACCTGGTATGAGAGAGATGCTAACTCAATACCTGTAAAGGATGTCAAGGTGATTTGAAGTCATTGAGGAATAATTTGTCCCTGCACAGGGGAGAGCCCAGTAGTTGCAATGAAAACCATGTTACTAGACAGAAAGGTTCTGGATTGTCCAAGTCACCATCTTTATGATCTTGGACAGTCTGTTTCACCTTTCTGACTCTGAGCTCCCTCAGTCTTGAAGAGAGGCAGTGCACTCATTCTCTTTAAGTGTGCAGGCTCTTTCATTTCAGAAACTACAGAAATTGTTTATACAAGATTGCACACCTTTAAAAGTGTCCCTCAGACCTGACAGACTCCATTCCTGATTTTAAGATGAATCTGTGGTTGCTCCGGGATATGACCTAAGACCACAGATACAGTGATGGCAATACTGGATCTTTTGGAGTAATTTCTTCTGAAATCTTGATGGGCTTTACATCATCCATTCTCTTTGATTACACAGTGGCTGCTCTTTCATCTGTGACAAAATCTTGAGAAAGCTACGCAGTTCCAAAGCTGCCTAGCATAACTATTTGCAGGTATAATCAGTTTGCTAACATTAAACAAAAATAAATTAAGAAATGAGTAGCACGTTGGTGTTCAACTTTTCATTTACAGATATTTGCAGTATAACAAGTCAAAGGGCCAACTGGAAAAGCTACTTGGAAAATCTAAAACTCCATTCCCCAGTAGATTTTTGAATATTTTCCTGTGTATGTTGTAATATAACATTAATGGAAAAGTACCGATCCTCTTTCAAACAAGGGAATCATATCAAGGATTAAGTTTAAGTGATTTGCTGACATTTTTATTGCTGGAGTTGATAATTCTTTCTTTAAACTTCTCTTAACAGGATAGCTAATTGCCCGAAGAAACGTAGTGGAAAATGCAAAACAACGAAATTATAAAACCTGCCAAATACTTCTCAGAATTGGAAAAGAGCATCTTGCTTGCATTAGTAGAAAAGTATAAATATGTGCTGGAATGTAAGAAAAGCGATGCACGAACTATTGCCCTCAAGCAACGTACCTGGCAAGCACTTGCCCACGAATATAACTCCCAGCCGAGTGTCTCGCTGCGGGATTTCAAACAGCTGAAGAAGTGCTGGGAGAACATCAAGGCTCGGACCAAAAAAATTATGGCCCATGAAAGGAGAGAGAAGGTGAAGCGGAGCGTCAGCCCACTTCTGAGCACGCACGTCCTGGGGAAGGAGAAGATTGCCGGCATGCTGCCCGAGCAGCTGTACTTCCTGCAGAGCCCGCCGGAGGAGGAGCCCGAGTACCACCCCGACTCTGCTGCCCCAGGTACCGCATCCCTTGTGCCGCTTTGCCTGTGCTGGTTGGGGACCCGTTTGACACTTTAGTCCTAAGCGCTTTCATTTTGAGATAATGCATAAGAAAGAAACTAACGTGTGAAATTTGACTTAATTCAAAACCTTGGGATTAAATTAGAGATTGAAGTCATGTAGTACACAAAGGTACTTGTTTGGACCCACCGGTTACCTCTCATAGAGACTTTATTATTACTTAAGGAACCACAGCAGTTATTAATAAGACACTTTAGTTGCTTATGTCAACCTCTCTCTGAATAGATGAAAGAGAATTTGATGGGGATTTATGTTCATTCACTCAATTTTTTGGAATCTGTTGTGTACAAAGCACTATAGTAGTCATTCAAAAGACCATTTAAAACTATGTCAGACTTAAAACCAAAACCACAGAGATTAATACAGGAAACACTCACTTGGCATTTACTCAGATTAACAAAGAATATTTTGACCTCCTATAATATTGTGATCTGATGTTTTGGTTTGTGGCACTCCAGGGTCTTTGAGAAATTGTGAGAAAAAAATTTAATGTATTTGGCGGTGGGGTACCGAGGATCAAACTCATGACCTCATGCTTGGCCAGGCAGGTGCTTGTGCTGCTAAGCTAAACCTCCGGCCCTATATTTCAAAAAGAGCAAAATATGTCACCTGTAATTCTTAGAGAAGGAAAAGACTGCCATAATCAGAGGTGTGTAGTTCATCATGGCTTCAAAAGATTTGTATTAAGGGGCTACTGACAAGGAGGGGGTAAAATTGCATATAAATAAATTTCCAGTGATTCCTCCTTCTTTTACGACCGGAAGTACCCAGTTTATGTAACAGTTCATGGCAGTTCTCAGAAGGTACATCTTAAAGCAGAGGGAGGTTCCTGAGGAGGCCAGAGGATTGGTGCTCCAGGAACCCCACCCAGAAAGCATTTCACTCAGAAAATCACTCTTGCAGAATGGGAAGTTCACTTGTTAGTGTGCCCAGCATAGATTAAGCTTTAAGAAAATGGATACTTGTTAATCAAAAGTCATGAGAAACTGTCTTAAACCAAAACTGTTACCTGTACAGAATGAAAAAGATATTACCCAGTGAACCAAATACATGCCTTTCGGTGATTAGCGCCTTTTTTTTTTTCTCCTGTAGGTAAATCATGCTGGGAAGCTAATTTATGATCAAAAATTTGCATGCTGATCATTTGACCAGAGTTAAGTCCACGAAGCCAGTTGGGTAACCATAGTGGTTAATGTCATAAATGTTTGTCAACATTTTCCCATGCAGGAGCCTTGTGCCTGGTTTCTGATTTCCAGGTTCCCAAGCCAGGCTAACCCCTAGCAGACAATGTTTATGTGGGCACTGCCTCTTTTATCTCTCCTTAATGCTTCTGTGGGTCACGGGACCCACTGCCAAGTGACAGTGTCCTTGCTTTGAGGAGTTGATAGCTTCAGCCAGTTACTGACCAGAATCTCACTAGTCTCACAGCAGTTTGGTGTCTGTGAGGCAAGCTAGGGTGTGGTGCTGGGAGAGAGGGAGGTGAGTTATTAAGGATGCTTTTCACATTACTTACGTTCCATGCTGCTGAGGAAGATGCTGGTGTGAACTACATTAACTTCATTTTGTAGATCCGTGTTCTGGATTATTGTGTCTTTATTTCTTAGGATCTTCTTAGGGGACAGTCTTACTTCTACATTTTCAAAGTCGAGGGTAGAATCTAGAAAGTTTACCCCACAATTTTCTTCTTATGTACTTTATTTACACATAAACACAATTTATAAATTTTGAGAAAAAAAAAGAAATACATCTGGGCTTTCAATGCCTTTTCTGTAGCAACATTTGCTAGAGATTCACTTGTGAAAGACATGAATTTGAATTGGATATTTGTACGTGTATAGTAGGGAGAAATTCCTAAAACTGGTCCTTTCTAAGTACAACCTAGTGCTGCCTGCGTCCCTTTCCCCTCACATCAGGAGAGTAGGAGAGCTTAGCTGGGAGGTGCACCCAGGGTAATCTGTTAATACAGAAGTAAAGGTGTCACAACCCTTCCCACATATTAAAATAGAGTTGAGGTTATTTCACTTATTTTGTATTTCATTTTACTTTCAAGGAAAAAAAAAACAATTGTCAGTCATCTCTTCTAGGACTTGGTGGGGGAAATGATTGCAAAATCTACTATTGGGTTGTGACCCCCATTATCTTGTGTGTTTTGACCTAGATGTCTCTGTTTTACTTTTATGTCTCTAACACTGTACTGTCCAGGAGCCACAAGCCACATAAGCCTGATAAGCACTTGAAATATAGATAGATCCAGCCAAAATGTGCTGTAATTGTGTATACCACATTTTGAAGACTCAATATCACAAAAAGAATTAAAATACCTCATTAACAATTTTACATTGATTACATGTTTAAATGACAATATTTTAGATATATTGGCTTACTATATTGTGGAAATTAGTGTCACTTATTTCTTTTTATTTTTTAATGTGGCTGTAGAATGTTTAAAACTATTTATGTATTTTATATTCTTTTTCTGTTGGACAGTGCTGTTTTAATAACTGGGTGCCTGTTAACAGGATTAGGTGTTCAGAAGTTTGTTGGGATTTATTATATAAAGGTTAAAGAGGATGGAGCCCAGCAGTATTCCACTAGAGGCCTCCCTCCAACTATGTTTTGGTGTGAATTGGTCTTGACTGCGTCATCTGGATCACCATCCTCTGGATACCCTTAGCTTTGCCAGTGACTTTCTTAAAATGTGCTGGGCAGCTGAATTTGAATCCTGTAGTCTCAAAGTTTAACAAAAATACTTAGAGATGTATTTGCCAGAAAGTATTATACATACAGATGGTACCCTGCAGATTTTGTGATCCGGGATAATTTGGCTTTGACAGTTATCTTTTGTTATCTTGGAGGAATAGGTATGGAGAACAAACTAAGGGAGCCATCAGAATTTTGCTAGGGATGGCAGGATGACAGAAAATGGAATGCATTTTAGAAATCTAAGCTTTTAAAGCAGTATTCAAATGTGTTAGAATTTATATTTAATTTCACATACTATTATTTTTGTGCTACAAAGTTATAATTGAATAATGCGAATCTTAGTAAGTTCCATTATTATTACTACTTAATCGAATCTCATTATTTTGGGGTGGGAACTTGGCACAGCATTGTGTTGCAGGGCAAGGCACCCCCTGTGTCCCTGCTCTGTGAAAGACTCTCTTGTGGAAGTTCTGTGTTTATTCCCTTTTCTTCCTGTCCCACATATTCATTCTATTCTGTAGTCAAACTAGCCTAGTGTGCTTGAGTTTCCTCTCACATGTGTTTTATCTACATGTGTTTTTGACTTACACAGATTAAAAATTATGCTACAGATACCACTTCTTGTGCTTTTTCTCATTTAGAATTATGTTTTTAAGATTTATTCTTACTAGGCATGGTGGTGGCATATGCCTATAAACCCAGCATTTGGGAGGCTGAGGGAGAAAGATTGCCAGTTTGAGTCCAGAATAGGCAACTTAATGACTTTAGCAAGACCCTGTTTCAAAATTTAAAAATAAAAGAAGGGCTGGAAATGTAGAACATTGCAGAGGCTCTGGGTTTAATCCCCAGTAAAATTCCCATTGCGGTGTATAAATCTTAATATTTTTCTTGTCGTTAATACAATAGTTTCCTATGGTATGCATCCACAGTAATCTATTTACCCACATCCCCAGTAATCTTTTTTCTATTGAGAAGGACTGGAGATTGGCCTATATGAGTTCTTCCTTTCCTTTCACTGCCACGGTAGGCTTTTCCTGCTGATACTAAGCTCACTGAAACTGCCCCCAGTGAAAAAACCACCCCCAGGGCTGTGTTCTTAGTCCCAGGAAAGTCTTTCTGTCTTTTTGCATAAAAAGATTTGTTCTATACTTTGAGTAGCTTTGTTTTACCTGGGAGAGAGATTACATGGTGTGTGTGCGTGGTGGGTTGCTATTCCCAGGCTAATCTTTTTCCAATTAAGGGAATAGTCTTCCTATCTGAACACTAGCTTTTATGCATGGGAACTCATATTTGCTTGAAAGTTAATTAACTGCTCTTTATCAAACTTCCTAGTTTTAAGACTTACCTTTTACATATCTTAAGAGGCCTGCCTACTTCTCCTAAAATGGTAACGTTAGCACACATTTTAGAAAGAACAGTTTTAAAATAGTCATTTCTTTGCTTTCAGACATGAAGATACTCTTTGAATGTTCACAGGTCCAGAGCGAAATTTGGAGAACAAAAATTAGAATGTATACTGATATTCTTAGTAATAGGTGATTTTCTAATGGATACAACTTGGGAGGTTATATTTCATGCTATGTAAGTGATCAGCTGAGCAAGTAGAGTAGTGATGGGCTAACTCAAAGTAGTCAGGTTTGGTTTTGGAGTCATATAGACCAGGTCAGAATCCTGGTTGTCATCTGGGGGTGGTGGCACATGCCTGTAATCTCAACACTCCAAAAGCAGCATAGAGCGTAACAAGTGCGAGGTAGCTTGGCTACACAGTAGGCTCAAGGCCAGCCTGAACTATGGAGTGAGACTCTTGACTTAAAAAAAATCCTGATTATTTCAAATAGCCAAATGACCTTGGATACTGCATTTAGTTTTCTATAATAATACCTCCCTCAGAGGATTGTTCCCTCGATAAGGAAATGTAAAGCTCTATCCTAGTGCCTGATTTGCAACTCAGAATGGTAGCTGCTAACATCATTCTGTTACCATCATCCTGTTTCTAAAACCGTAGAATTACTGAGATTCAGTAATGTAGGCATACCCATGTTTACAGCAGCACAATTTGTAATGGCTGGATGTTAGAAACAATCCAAACGCCCATCAGCCAAGGAACAGATAAAAAGGATGTCTTTTTATATGGTGGAATACTACTGAGCCATAAAGGATAAATTGGAGACTTCTCGGTAAATGGATGTAACTCGAAACCATACTTATAAGTGAAATAAACCAGACATACATGTGTAAACATCATATTGTCGACCTCGTGTGAGAAGGTGAAAGAGTAAATAAGATCTGAAATGTACAATAGATGTTGTAAAATGGGAAAAAACTTCAAAAAGGAACTGGCATGAGAGAAAAGAGAAAAGGAGGAAGAGAAAAGCCAAAGTTAAGATAGTTATACTATCCATTTCTGTTAGTTCCTTGAAAAGAAAGATTTGTGCTAATATTGTTTGGAAAATTATATACTGATATCTTACACTCTGAGCAACTAATGTAAAGATAACAATATACAGTGTATTAAGCATTGTAACCCTCCTGTTATCTTGTTTTGGAATTTTGTTTTGTTTTTCTTTCTCTTTAAAAAATTGTTGAGATAAAAGTGAGCCTTTAGAAATCGGGAGAGACAGTAGGCTTGTGAGGAGATGTACTTTGAAGATGCAGGAGTATCTAGAAATATCCCCTGGAATGCAATCAAAGAACAATGAGAGTAGAGGTATCAAAAAATGTCAATGTGTCCAACCTTCAAAGAAAACATTTTCAGATCTAAAACTGGAAAGGAGATGAGTGAGGTAATGTTCTTGGTGGCTGAGGCTCACACATCTGAAGGCCCTGTCCCTGGTGCTAAGGCTTTCCCGTCCCTCACACCTGCTCAGACACTGTTTTCCAGAACTGTGACAGGTGGGCAGGGACGCCATCCCTGTAGCCGGTCACTTACACACATTTCTTACATGCTTGGTGCTGTGTGAGGCCCTGTGCTGGCCTCTAAAAAAGGATGCGTAACAGATTGTCTGTGTCTTCTGAGAACTCAGGAACATGAAGGGAAGGTAGTTAAACCCTGGTTTTAACAAGTGCTCTTCCAGAATGATGACAAACAAATGAATAAACACGAATGCTCTGCAGACAAGCCCAGGAGGCAGTGGGAATATGAAGAAAAGGTCATGATGCAAGGCAGGAACTAGTGAAATTGAGTCCCAGGGAGAAAATTTTCATTATTTCTGGATAGCAGAGTATTCATTTTTAAAAAAACCTTTTCATGCAAAAGCAAGATTTTTACCTTTTCAGGAAGTTTAATTAGTGACTAGTTATGGTTGTTACCTCACCCCTTGGAGTGAAATAATCTAAACCGTAGCCATTTCCCTTTATTAACAGAGTATTACAGATTAGGTTCCCCCCAGTCACCATTAACATTCCCAGCATCCCTTCTTCCAGAATAATGGAGTGGACATAATAATGTAATCAACCCTGTTAATAAATTGGTATTACTTTTCTCTGAGAATATTTTCATTATTGGAGACGTAAGCTAGAAGACTCCACGGGTTGGTGGAGTTAGTGGTTTTCTCTAATTGATACTAATGTCACTGCCTTGTAAAAAATACCAGTGCAAACACCACCACATGCGGCATCTTTTTCCATCTGTATACTCATTTCCCTTCACAGTCGAAGGTTCAGCCAATAAGTATGACTAGGCATCCTCCGTGTACCAAGGAAAGTAATCGGTACGCAAAGATAAAAGAAATGAATCAGGCCTGGTGCCAAAATAATACTAGTGGTATTGAGTGCTCTAGAGTACATATGAAGAAAGAGGTCTGAGGTTTCACAGAGCAAGCAGCATTGGTCTTTAATGAGCAAGAATTAGGGAGGAGAAGTTGAAAAAGGGAAACTGGAGTGGGGTGGAGCCGATGCGTAAATCAACTTTAAGAGTGAGACAGTATTATGAACTTCTTAAAGATTGTGAGCAGGTTTTGATAGGGGCAAAGACTATTTTGAAGAGTAAAACAAAGAAGATGAAAGAAAGGTAGAGCCAGATTACAAGGCTGTTTAGGGTGGATGAAGACCAGAGCCAGAGCTGGGCACCTCGAGGACATGAAAAGGTGACAGGTAGGTGAAGTCTCAATACTTCAAGACTTGAGAGGGTCGATCAGAGAGGAAGAGGTTCTAGATACATATAGGAGAGAGCGATGGTTCTGAAGCTAATGAGAGAAAGAAATTTCAAGGATTGGCAAGTTTGAGACAGATTAAATAAAGGGGAACTGACAGGTGTCTTTGGGACCTGAATATTGGCCCTACATGGCGGTGTGAACAGTAACAGCCAGATGCAGGATATCAAAGGGAAATGGTGTAAAGGAACCCAAACCAGGGAGTGTAGAGGGGTCTCACACAGAGAAACATTTATACATGCACTGGCTGTGGGAGCTAACACTGGGACAGGAACCTGCCACACGGGGCTTGTGGAGACTGAACAGAAGTGTTCCTGGCTGAATGAGAAACTGGCGAGGGTGATAAGACTGACAGAGAACTTTATCTGAAGGCCTCCATGGTTAGCCCTGTACTGTGTGGTCTACGGGCATCAGATCAGAGTTCTGCACACTTCGGTGTAAAATTCGTATCAATGTCATAAGGTCTCCTGTTCTAGATAAGCATGTCCTCTGACCACTTCCCATTGTTGGCAGTTTTAGAAATAACAGAACCCTTCATCATTATTTCTAAAGGGAAAATTGCTTCTGGTTTATGTAAGAAGTTAGATGTGGCCAGGGTAATTGTACACATGAAGGCCAAAGCAGACACTATATTATTTTAGATCCATCCTGTAATGAGAGACCCTGTCATTTGAAATAGGATTGACTTTTTTCTCTGCTTGTAAAATCTTTGAACGTATGTTTTCTGCTACTGTTTTTCAGAATCATTTGCTGTTTCAAATAGAGAACTGTGCGATGATGAGAAAGAGTTCATACATTTTCCAGTATGTGAGGGGACCTCTCAACCTGAACCCTCGTGTTCAGCTGTCAGAATAACAGCCAATAAAAACTACAGGAGCAAAACCTCTCAGGAAGGTGCTTTAAAAAAGATGCATGAGGAAGAACACCATCAACAAATGTCCATCTTACAACTGCAGCTGATACAAATGAATGAGGTGCATGTGGCCAAAATCCAGCAGATAGAGCGAGAGTGTGAGATGGCAGAGGAGGAACACAGGATAAAAATGGAAGTGCTCAATAAAAAGAAGATGTATTGGGAAAGAAAACTACAAACTTTTACCAAGGAGTGGCCTGTTTCCTCATTTAACCGGCCCTTTCCCAATTCACCCTGAGACTTCGGGGGTGGTTCCTTGTAATTAAATCTTGTGTGGCAAAGTCTGGAACATGAACTTGGGGTCAGTAACCTGTAACGGAGCTATGACTAGGAAAATTAGAGGGGTAGTAGTCATTTATTTAAGAATACATTCAGGTAAACAGCTGTACCCTGTGTTCTCCTTACCTGGCAAAGAAGCTGTTATAGTTTTCTGAAAATTACCACTATGAGTGCTATAATTCTGAATGTAATGTCTCAATTAGAATTCATGTAAGAAACATGTGTGAGTGTTGTATTTTTTAAAAATCAAATGCAAGTGTGACTATAAAGAAGTATGGCTGATTTTTTCCCCCTTAAACAGGCAGCTCAACTTTTCTATCTCGTTGAATGCCCTGACTTTGAAAGTGGCTGTCCTGGATATCATACCCTTCGCCAGAGATGATTCTGTTGCTAGAAATTGCTAGAGATCTGTGGGGAATTTCAGGTTCTGAAAAGCTCAACATTTGGGAGGATATTTTCTAATGTAGCTCTGAAACTGTTTTTTAAGGTTTTTCTTCAAAGCAGAGTTCCAACTAATATCTTCAGCAATGGTAGTTTTGTTAGAACTAAGGATGTAATAATTTTAAGGGAGAAATGTTAGTTTAAGTGTCTACATTCTATTTGTTTTATTAAAAAAAGACTTCCAATTTTATAGTCACACTGTGTATGTTTTTAAAAGATGCTGCCTTCTACTCTGAGCTCCAGTTTTTGCCTCTTTTGACCTCTCTCCAGCTTTGGACCACTGAGTTAATGATCATCCTTTCTCTTAGACTTTAGCTTCCTAAGGAAAGGGCCTTCCCTCACCTTGCTCATGGTCTTAGCTGATAGTAATGGTATGTAGCTGGCATTACATCGTCAGCATGGGCTTTTTGAGAACCCATTACCACATATTTGGAAATATGTATTAATAAATAGATATTTTGATTGAACTGTGATGCAGCTTTTCGTAGCAGAGTGGTAAAAACAGTCTTGAGAGTTGGGGGCAGCAGTGGCGGAAAGAAGCACAGTGGCAATTAAGTGCCAAGCCAGATCAGCAGTTTCTGAGAATGAGATTGCAAGGCCATAAGCAAGGAGGTGTGTGGCAGAGGTTGTGTGGGAGGCAGCCAGACTGGGATCCAGAGCCTGAGTTCTAAGCCAGGCTTTGCCCAAGTTGCCGCATCTCCTTGGGTAACTCCTTAAATCCTTTGTGTGTCCCAGAACAAGGGAATTAGACTAGATAATGTTAAGAGTCTGCTTCAAACTCTTGGCCCTCATATGGTTTGTGTAATCTTGGGTGGGTACTGCTAACATCATGATTTCTTGGATGGGACAGGCCAATTGGGAACAGTGTTCTGCATTGGCCAAATTTTCTCCTTCATAATATTGGAATTTGCACCCTGGAGACTGTAAGTTCTGTAAGGTACATATAGACTCATGATTTGGGACCTGCATAACATTTAAATGGATATCTATTTTCTACACTGAATCATATTTTAAGTATGTAAGAGCAACTGGTTATTTTAGATACATCCTATAATGACACTATATCCTTTGAAAGGAAACAGCCTTTTATAAGGATTTGTTCTTAATTTTGTTCTTATCAAATGGATCTTCTAGAGAATGAAGCATTCTAGTGTCTTTAATTTAAAATGGGCTGTGGAATACAGAATCTCTATGTCCGTCTACCCCTGGAGAATTAGGAGAGGGGAGAGCAGACCCTGATGTGAACCGAGAAAAGGGTTTCCTTTGCTTTACCTATTGAGCCACCTAAAAATCCTGTTAATACCGCATGTACTTTCTAGAGTGAGACCTGAGATTCTGCATTTCTTAACAAGTCCCCAGGTTGCAGGTTGTGCTTTTCTGGTCAACACACTGCTGAATAGCAGGGGTTTAGAGGATTCTATGAAGTTTTTATTATTCTCAAAAAAAAGAGAGGGAATTAAGTGTATCTTGGTGCATAATTATGTGCTGATTATTCTCAAGTTAGGAGTTAAAGCACATAAACAACAATGTAGAACAACACAAAAAATGCTCACAAACAGTAGTATATTTTAATTGAATTATAAAAGTGTTGAACTAATTCCTAGCTGAACAAATATAGGACAATTAAGCCAGCAGCTTAAAGCACCTTCCCTTCTGTTAATGGTATTTATGAGTTTATAACGATAGCTGCAACATTGGCTATGCATTAGAAACAATATTTTATAAATAATTAGTCCCACTGGGCCCCAATTCCAGAGAATTCTGATTCAGTTGACCTGGGTTGGGGGCTGGTACTCTAGTTTTTGGAGGCTTTCTAGGTAATTATGACGCATAATTAGGACTGAAAATCACTTGTGTAGAGTTCACATATGTTATCTAGTTTGGTTGTTAATCCTTTGAAGTCCTGTAGAGGTAAGGAAATTATGCTCAGAGAAGAACCATCTGGCACCAGGCCTATAGCTAATGAATGGTAAAGCAGAACTTCAATCCCAGGTCTGTTGACTCTAGAACATACAACTCCACCAGCCTGCCCTCTCCCTTTCACTTGGAACCATGTCAAGGATTTGTTTTATCCTGAGAGTCTAATCACACTGCAAGATACTTGTAGTGTCTATTCTTGAAGAGATGTAGCACATCCCAGTTCATTTTACTTTTGAGCCTTTCCTTACCTGATGTGAAAATGCAATAACTGTTCTTGGCAAGTGTTGTAGGGAATAGATAAATATTGAGACATAAGTCACCATCCTCTGCCTTGCCAAGTCATGAACACAGCCCAGGAAGGGGAGTAAGGCTCATACACAGCTATCACGTAGTTAGTCCATCAGTGCATGTCTGCAAGTGTACTTGTAGCTGACAAAGAATCAAGAAGCCTGACATCCTCGTGGAGGAGGTGGCATTTGCACTGTCCTCAGAATTGGCATTTTGGCAGGGATTTGGAAAGCAAAAGGACTTTTATTAGATGCAAAGTCCTGTTGAAGATTCAAGATAAGGCACATAAGTGGGAGGCAGTAGAAGCTTGGGGCATTTCCAAATTGGGCAGTGCCATGATCAGAGTGGCTCCAGGAAGAAGATTAGAAGATGGAACTGAGTGAAGACTGGAGTTGGGGATACCAGGTAGGAGGCTTTGGCCCTGGTTACCATGTAAAGATAGGAACCCGGAGGATGCTGTAGTTAAAATGAGAGACCTAACAATGTTAAGAGCATTGCTGCAGTGAAATTAGTAAGGGCTGGTGGTTAGTTGCTTTTGTTGGAAAGCAACTGGAATGAAATGAAGAAAGGATATATTTCTGGTTGTATTGTCCTAGGAGAGACCTAGATATTAACTAGTGCTCCTGCCTCTCAGCCTCAAAGCCAGCATCACCCCTCACCACCTCTTTCGCTCACTGATGCCTCAGTATCTGCCTCCTCAGCTGCCTGTGCTGCCACTTGCACCTGTTCATCTTCACCAGCCCTCTCTGCTGGTGCTTGGTCATCAGCTTACTTTGTGCTGCCTCTGCCATCAGTACCTCACTTGCAGCTGGTGTGGCATGTCATTGGCCATCTTTTGTGTTGGTACTGCACTAAAATGATTAGAAAAGCGCCTTTCTTTCCCATGAGCTCCCAATTTTTTTCTAGATAGTGGGCATCTGCAAATTTCAGAATTTTTATTTTTTATTTTAAATGTTTCATGTCATGTGAAGGAGCATGGGATGGGAGGAACCAGTAATCCCCATGTATGCTTATCAGAGCCCCTTTACAAAAATCAAACATGATAGCCAGCCCTGTTATGTATCCAAGATTTAGAAAACATGGTAGGATTTTTTCAGGGAGACTTTTAAAATGCATTTTTGTTTTTTGTTTTGTTTTGTTTCAGAAGAGCCTAGAAGGGCAGAGGAAGAGAGGTGGCATGGTGGCAGAGTACATTTGAATTGTCAACAGTCTCTGCAGTGTCAGGTCAATTACATCAGCACTTGGTCTGGACCAGAGGAAAGAAACAATTCTGCCTCCTGGGAATGTCAGAAGGACCTGATAATTATATTTGGCAAAGCCACGAGGAGTGGCTCTGTAATGTCATTGCTAAGAATTGCCCTTTTAATAGCATTTCTGGATGTCAGAGCTTTCCAGATGAATGGCACTTCATTTCTGCAATGGCTTTCCTTTTTTCTGGGCTGGTTCCCAGCTGAGCCTCTTGTTCTTCCATGTCCTTGCTTTGGGATCACTTTACATTTTCTCTTCTGTCTTCCTCCTTCCTGGCCCAGTTACTCTATCCCTGCCTTCCTGCACTCACAGCAGCTTCTACTCTCCCCTGGTTGGAGGTAGAAACGTGTGAATGCTCCAAGAAGGGAAGGCTTGCCAAAGGACAGCGCCTTCAGCCTCTGGTCTCAGCAAGGTAGTGTTTCAGCCTTAACTCACCAAACTGTGGATGGCTTGTTTCCATGTTATGCCTGCTACTTCTGATAGTGGAACTCAAAAGACAGGAAAGGTTGTCAATGCTCCGTGGCTGCAATAAATTCTTTTCTCAATTGTGCCATATATTATGCTCTTCAACACAATTTACTAACCTCTGCCTCAGTTTTTCCATTTGTGAAAGTGCTGTAATACTTATCTACCTCCCTTTATTGTTGTAAAGTATATGTTGGCTAAGCACTTTTAAAATAAAGAGTGATGTAAAGCATTTTGATATTGTTGTTATTGGCATACAGATGACCTTCTTTAGAGAAGCTCCCTGTAGGGGAAATATCCTGGCGCAGGAGCACTTGGTAGCTAAAAAATCCTACAACAAATGCAGGAGCGTGATTATTTTCCTTATGAAAAATTTCAACATGACATTTAAAAAATAGTTTTTATGGTGCATTTAGAATGAGATTCAACTTATAGAAGTGTGATTTAAACAAAAACTTTAAAAGAACACATTTATTGAACTTCTGTTATGCAGTTCAATTGTCAGATTTTCAAATTGATTATTAACAGGGCAGTTTATCATTGTTAGGTGGAGAACTTCTGTGTCCACGTTATCCAACCCAGAATGTCTGTAAAGGTTCCCTACTCTTGGTACTGATTAGAGTGGACAGAATGCTGCTTCTGCTACTCATGAAAGGATCCAAGGATTTAGTTCCTTATAGCACTGCTGGATCAAGGAGAGAAAGATTAACCATATATAGAGCTAAGAGTATGAGGCAGTCTCTAGCTATAAACAGTGGGCTGCTTTTGACTCCTGGTGACTGCTAAAAGATTTAACTAGAATTGGGTCTGAATTTTTTTTTTTTGTACTAGAAATCAAAATCTGGACTTAGCACTTGCCAGGCAGGCGCTTATGCCACTAAGGCTACATCTCCAGTGCACAGGTCTGAAGTCTTGAGTTTTCTGTGGGTTTGCTGGAGGAGAAACTTCAACTCTTGTTACTTAAGAGGTCAGTTCTTTTTAATCAAAAAATACTTTTATAGTAGAAATACTGTACGTAGCAGTAGAAGGTAAGCTTCCAGTTCTTTTTCTGGCCATCATCTGGTTCAGTGTAATCAAGGAAACTCAGAGGTGGTCCTCTGCCAGTGAAACGCATATGGCATGGGGGATGAACCCGGGCCTTGTACAGGCTAAGTATGTGTTCTACCATTGAGCTGTAACACTAACCGCTGGATCTAAATCCGTATCCACAATCTCCACAGAGTATCTTGAAATGGGTTGGACTGAAGATAGTCCCGCCACTCAGTCACTGAAACATTTGGGGCATGGCTGGGGTAGATCTGCTCTTGTGTGATCTCTTGAGTTCCTGACTAAAGGATCCACAGCTCGTGGGGGAAGCTCTTCTCAGGGTAGAAGTACAACAGGGGAAACCCAATTCAGAACATTGCAAGTTTCACTTATCTCCTAATATTTCCTTGTCCAGAATAATCTACATGGCTGAACCCAAAGTCCATGGGGAGGGAAGCAGACTCTTCTTAAGAAGGTGAGGGGGAGAGAGAATATTTTTGAGTCAAAGTATACTACAGTATTTCAAGGTGGAAGGGAGCTAGCTTGATACCAGGGAATTGAGATCTATTATAAATCAAGGAACAGGGAATCCAGGGAAGAAAACATGCATTATCTACAGATGCGTCATCTTCTGTTGATACACTTCTCGTTGCATTTGTAGGGAACAGATTAAAATTTGCGATAATAGAATATGCTCTATTGGGTTGTTGGATTAAATGAATAATGCGAATGTACCTCGACTTACAATGGCAGGACATCCTGTTAAACTTAAGGTAAATCAAAAATATCATAGATTGAAAATGCGTCTAATACATCTAACCTCTGCACATTACAGCTTAGCAGCAATGTACTGTAGAGTAGCATTTGTCTCCTTGTTTTTACATGGCTGGCTTGGCACTCTGGCTTGTTGTCCTGCCTAGCATCACAAGAAAATGTCTTTCTGCATGTTGCTAGCCCCCTCAAAAGATCAAAATTCAAAACGCAAAGTATGCGGCCAGGGATATGACTCTAGCACAGTGCTTGCCTGGCAAGTGAAAGGTCCCATGTTTGATTCCCGGTAAATAAATAAAAATTAAATTAAATTTAAAATTGCAAAGTATGGTTTACACTGAAGATCTATCACTTTTACATCATCATATAGTCATAGAATTGAACCTTGTAAGTCAAGTATCATATATATATTTATTTAGAATAGTGCTTAGAACATAATAAACACTATGGATTTTAGGCACTTTTTTTTCCCTCAAAGTTATATGGCTTTTACATGTGGATGAAGAATTTGAATGCAAGTAGTCTGAATCCAGGTCTCATGCTTCTAAGAATCCTAATATATACCTACAGCATCTGGGATCTCAGTTTAAGTCTTAGCTTTTCAAACAACATTGACATTCTGAGTATTAGAACATCACCTGCAAAATACATACTTAATGTTTGTTATAATGATTACTTGGGAATACAATAGAGTCCTGTAAACTGTAACATTAAAAAAACAAAATTAGACCTCTCCTTTGATCTTGTGTTAGACTCCAAGACTATTTTCTACCATCACAAACCCTTATCTTCTGTTTCTAGCCTTCACACTCTGTGACATTCCCTGAACATAATCTTGAGTCTCTCAGTTTCATAACCAAGCTCTGTGAAATCATTTCTGTTGATTTTTCTTCTTCCTGGAGTGCTCTCAGCCTTTCCACAGTCGCTTTCCATCATCCATGCTGCTGAACTGTTCAAAGTCAAGTGAACACCAGGATACACTCCTGGGACCTGGGCTGTGGTCCCAACTTTGCCAGTAACTTGTCATGTGATGATGGGCAAGTTACTACATCTCTGTATTAAATTACTTGTCTGTAAAGTAGGACTGTTAAAGAAGAGGATCTCTAGCTTCCCTGCCTGTGTTCTAATTAGTCTAATTCTGAAATTAAACTAATCTTTTCAATTTACTGCACATAACCAAGTTTTCAATTCAGTATTCTCCTTAAAAGATAATGTGTACATAAATGGAATTCAAATACTGCATCCAACTGGATCAGCCCCAAGGTTGAAAGCACCATTTGTGAATGTTACTGATATTAGGATAATGATTACAGTTAAGCAGTTTATAACACAATCTAAATATAGTCAATACAAGAATTTCAATATATGGGAACAAAAAAGGTGGTTCCTTCCCAAAATGTAATTTTCCCATCACACTGTAATTGGTGGCAGAGTAACTGCTTCAAATTTCCCCATTCTATGGATTACAGAATACTACTATTTCACAGACTTCCTTGTTCTAAAGTAATAATGGGCCCAGAATATGTAGATTTTTGTATATTTTTAAAAATTCTTATCACTTGGCTTCAGTAGAGGATATCCACTGTAAAATCAGGATTTTCTGAAACATACTTTAAATGGAAGAAAGGAAAGATTTAAGCATTTAATGGACAAATATGGGCCTTAGGTAAGTTCATATGTTATTTAATTTAATACACTATTAGCCTTCCCACTCTGGGAGGTGACTGTAGAAAGGCTGAGGGCACACCAGAAAGATCAATGGAAATGATTTCACAGAGCCTGGTTATGAAACATAGACTCATGATTGTGTTGAGGGGGTGTCATAGCGTGGAAAAGCTAGGTAATATTACCCAGATTTTACAGATGAGGAAATAGAGCTCAGAAAAGCTGGATGATTTGTTCAAAATCATACACCAAACCTGGGCAACTATTTTGAAAATAACAATATGGAACATAACAATCATTGATAAATTCTTACCATCTTTTTTTGAAATCCTATATCATTATTATTTTTTGTTGCTGTAATTTTGCTTTTTTATTGCTTGCTTGCTTCTTGATTTTTCCAGTTTCTTCCCTTTAAAATAAAACAGAACAAAAACAAAAATCATATGCCAAAAGTTCTAGAGATGGATAGTGGTGATAATTGCACAATAATGTGAATATGCTTCATACTCTATAAATTTAAAAATGGTTCAAATGGTAAATGTTATGTTTCACCACAATACAGAAAGAAAAATAATACCCATCTAATGAGCACTTAGCTAGATTTAGGCTCCACATTAGTGTGTTTTTTTGGAGTGTGCATGGCATAGGAGAAAAGCACTCTGACTGGCTCTGTTCATTAAAGAGCTTCCTGGACACTAAGGAGCCAGAAACAAAGAGAAGCAGACAGAAGGGCTACATGGGGTAAAAAGTGTCAGCAGTAGCAGAGATGGCAACCCAGTTCTGTCTAATAGCAAGCTGAAAATCAGAGACCAAGCCAAAAAGAGAGGTTACCAATCAGCCTTGCCAGTGTTTCTCAGATAGTAATGTATATGGGAAACACCAGGGCATCTGGTACCATGCATGTTTTGGCTCAATGAACTTACGATGGGTACAGATTTTGCTCTTATGAACTCATCAATGATTGTGATATCGCCCATCCAGGGACCAAACATAAGCAGCAAGAATTAGATCACAGGAACCTCCTCAAGACAGCTTTCTGAGGGTGGACTTCAGACAACTTGCACTAGACAGTCCAGGATGCTTTCCTAAAGCAAGTCGTGGGCTTTATCCTACACTTCTGAGTCAGGAGCTCTTTTGGTGGGACTGCAATCAATATGTTTAACAAGCTTTCTAGTTGCTAGTTATATATAAATTTGAGAACCACCACCTATAGAACATTGCCACATCATGCTAATTAAAATCACTTCATTTGCATGCCCACTTCAAGACACATCCTGTGTCTTTTTTGCCTGAATAGCAGTCTGATGGAGATGGTCAGGAGCCCAACTTGGCAGATAAGGAAACTGACATCTTCAGGCATTACATGCTGGACTCAAAGGTTTTTGATGTCCAGAAAAAATGTTATTCTCCTTATTATTTTGTGGCTTGATCTCTTACATTATTATTTTTTTACTTGTACTCTTACACAAGTTAAAAATTCTTTTATGTTAAAAAGTTCTGCAGAGCAATTTTCTTGCTGTGATGCTTTTAAAGATTTCTGTCTAATTTACCACATTAAGCAGTACAGTTTATGCTTATGAGTATAAAGCTATCTAAGGTCACGGCAAAAAAGAAAACAATTGGTGAAGTCTTTAAGAAATAGACTACCTGGAGTTTTAAAAAATCTGTCACCAAGGGCTGGGGATTTAGCTCAGTGGCATAAGCACCTACCTGGTAAGCACGCTGTTGTGAGTTTGATCCCCAGTACAAAAAAAAAAAAAAATCTGTCACCCAAATTTACCAGTTATTTTTCTTGTTTTCCTTTTCAACAATTTATAAAAAAGTTTTGGATATCATGATGATGTTTTGCACAAGTGCTTCAGCATGTATGTACTATGCATAAGAAGTCTCCTTCATTATGAAAATCCCATTATCATATCTAAGAAAATTAACATTAATTTGGTAATATCATCTAACATGTAATTTATATTCAAATTTCTGTTATTGTTTATTTTCTCAGATCCAATCATGCATTTGGTTATTTTATCTCTTTGCACAATCTGGACTGAATCTCTCTGTCTTTTGTATTTTTCATGATGTTAATTCTTTGGAGGTCTAGGCCTTGTAAAGTACCCCACATTCTAGGTCTATCCGATTAATTCCTTGTGATTAAGTTCAGGCTAAACTTTTCCTGGGAAGGGTTTCATGTAGATAAATGTCATCTTTCATTATATCTTTTCAGGAAAGCCTTCTAGATTGCCTTTTGTGATATTAAATGATCACTTAGAAAAGTCATATCTGATAGATCTCCCTATTATAAAATAATGGTCTTTCACTCATAGTTAATAAGTTACCTTATGCTGATGCTTTAAGATTCTGAACAGTGCATTCTCTTATAACCTCTCACTCAGTGGATTTAGTATCCATTGATCACTCTTATCTGAATCAGTTATTTCACTGAGGATTATAAAATGGTGATTAAGTCAGTGTTGACCATTTATCAGCATTTATATGGAAAAGTATTCTAAGTTTAACAAAAACCTGAATTTGGGTCACCTTGAGTCATACCGGCAAATCAGAAAGCAAAGAATCCACTTGCCCTTAGCTTGGGAAAGAGGGAGTACCAAGTATATATATATATATATATATATATATATATATATATATATATTTACATTTTGCTTTTGCAAAGGATGCTTGAGAGAAAAACTAACTTCCTTTTTCTAAACATCCTGGCCTCAGATTGCCTGCCTGGTGTCTGTTTGGTGTTATTGATTGCTCCTGAGCTCTACTGGGAAAAATCATATGCTTCCTCTCCCATTAGCATCAGTGATTACTTCAATATTTTCCCACCTTTTTCAAATCTGACCCAGAATTTCTACATAGCAACAATCCAGTTGGAAGGGAAAGAGGCCAGGGTATCTGTTATATAAACTGCATATATCAATTTCTTTAAAGCAATATTTTATATAATATAGAGAAAATGCAATTGCTCACATCAAAGGCCATCATGAAGAATGGGGCAGACAGGCTAAGAGAGAGCTGGTGGCGATTATAGTGGGGCTACAGCTGGCTCACACTACCCGTCAGCCATTGCTCTACACCCGAACCTGCTCTGCTCTCCCACTTCCTTTTCAGAGAACACAGAAGCCTAAACCAAACATGTCCTCAGAAGCTTAACACCATATGTACAAGCCTAGCTACATCAGCCTCCATTCCCTCTACCATTCTTCTCATTACAAAGAAGTATCTGCTCTTGAAAGACACGTCTTCCATCTGTGCTTTGAAGTCCACTCCTGTCTTCTCAAGAATCTTACACAACTGATTTTTTTTTTGTCTTTTTGAGACAGAGTTTTGCTATGCAATTCAAGCTGGATTTCAGTTTATTTTGTGGCCCAGGCTGGTCTCAAACTTGCAATGATCCTTCTGCCTCAACCTCCCTAGTGCTGGGATTACAGGTATGCACCACCACGCCCGGCTTTCTGATTATCTTTTCTCCTGTGTTGTATTTTCAAATCTTCCCTTCCTCCATTTCTGGGTTGATCATCATGATTTAAATATTTTACAGTCTCATCTTAAAAAATCCTTCCTCTACCCACAGTCACCTCCTGCTCTGATTCTATTCTTCTCTTTACAGCCGAGGTGTCTAAATGTTCTGTCTCCACTTTCTGCTCCTTATGCATGTTTCATTAAACTCTAATCTGGATTCTGCACTACTTCACCAAATAGTTCTTCTAAGAGCATTAGTGACGGCATGTGACTCTAACTGTGGGACACTTCAGTATTCACCCTGCTTGATGTCTCAGCAGCATTTGACCGGTTGTTCACATTCTGCTTCTCAGAACACATTTGGTCCTTGGTCACGGACACTGCTCTTTCCTGGTATCCCTCCTATTTCTGATCATTCCCATGTGGTTACCTCCATTGGAGTCCCTCAGCTTTAGCATAAACTTATTTCATCATAGTATCGCATTAAATTAACATGCTCATTTCCATGACTTCAATTAATCTACCCTCCAGCGCCTCCCATGTGTATGCCCAGTGTAAATTTCTCTTACAAGCACCACATGTATAAATTCAATGGCTACTGGAGACTTCCATGATGCTGCTTCACTGGCTGCTCAGACTCTATTGGCCTAGAGTTGAACTCATCTCTCTCCAAACCTGTTTTTCTTCTAGAGTTGGCTGCTTCATAAATGATACCGAACCTGGGGATAACCACTGCTTGACTGACTTTCTCTCACATCAGTCACACAGTCTTGTTGATCTTATCTGCCAATTCTAGCTGTTTCATTTACTTGTCCCTATTTCCTAGTCTAAACCACCATCCTCATTCACTTGGGGCACTGCAATAGCCTTCTCATGGTTTTCCTGCACACAGTCTAATTTTCCAATCATTATACCCACTGCAACCCAAGAGGTTTTTGTTTAATAGATTCATTGAGATTTATATTTTGTTTTTTCAGTGCTGGGAATCAAACTGGGGCCTGAATTCCACCTCTGAGCTATATTCCCAGGCCTTGTGAAATATTATTAACATAATGTTGCACTTCATGCATTTGAACCAAGTTATCTTTTCAAACACAAATATGGATAGTCTAATCTTAAACTCAAACTTGGATTATTATTCTGGCTTAAAAGACCATGATTCATCCTCACTTTTTGAAGTCTCCAAATTCATTCTTTATCATTCACCCTTCAAGCTTTAGCCACAGCTGCCTTTTGTGTTTTTTTAAACAACCAGTACAATTATATGTATTTATCATGTATGACATTTTGAATATATATATATATAAATTCTGCAATGATTAAATTTAGCTAATTAACAAATGTGTTATGTCACATACAGTTCCTGAGATAAGAACAGTTATGTTATAGTTAAAAATCTTCAGTGTCCCCCCAGAATCTTCTCTGCACTCTTCAATGCATAGTGTTCAAAGGTGAAACCTTTGGGAGGTGAATGCATCCTGATGGCTCTGACCTCATGACTGGATTAATCAGTTTATGGGTTACTAATTTAATGGGTTATTGGGAGGTGATGGGAATTTTAAGGGGTAGAGCCTAGTTGGAGAAAGGTGGTTACGGAGGACATGCTCTTGAGAGGTACAGTCTGTTCCCAGCTTCTTCCTCTCTTTGCTTCCCACTTGGCACCAGGTGAGTAGCCATGCTCTGCCATGCGCTCCCTGGCACGATGTTCTACTTCACCACAAGCCCAAGTGATGGGGCTAAGCAAAGAGACTGAAAGCTCTGAAACTGCGAGTCAAACAGATACTTCTTCCTTTCAGCTGATTTTCTCACGTATTTTATCATGGGAACACAAAAGTGACCAACACAATTTACCATTTGCATTTTTAATGAATATGATAATATTCACTTACCCTGGTCTTAGGGTAGGTGAAAGTTGTCATTCTTCCAGGGAAACTTCTAGCC